CCACAAATGTTGTGGTACTGCTTGCTTTGATTAGGTTTAATGTTGAACCACAACTTTTGTGGGTTGGCACTGGAAATTATCATGCATACAATGGACTATGGATTAGGTGCGTTACTCTAAGTCTTCCTACCAATATAACCAAGTTGCGAAAACAAGGTCAAACAACCTCAATAAGTAAGGTAGTTATAAAAAATATAACTTTGCTTTATCGATAATCCCACTGCAAAATGTGATATGGGAAGATGCCTGGCCTCATTAAATTCACACCTGCCCTGTGACCCAGGTGCACGCACGTCAATGTGGTGTAGTGGTTAATATATTGAAATTATACGCTGCACTACTATGGTTCGAGGTTCGCTGGGGGTGCTGGTGAGAGCACCTTTTGGGAAGCATGACTGTTTAAAATTAAATGAGAACATGAGGCTTAACCACATCATTGTGCGTAAATTCAACTACCAGTCCTTTATCACCTTGAACAAAATAGAGTGAATACACATATATATGATTTACTGGTAGTCTCAAAAACGTATGAACGAAAAATCGAGTTCATGTACATGAAGTGGCTTGACCTCGTTTGGCAATTTGGTTGTATCGTCAGGATGACCTAGCTGGGCGTGCCCTCGGTAGTCCTATAGTAGTTATGATAATTCCTAGCAGATGACCGTGGACTTTGTATATTCCCAGACGTTTCGCCAGCGTTACATTTGTCAGAGACATGTTGTGACTTGGTGCTGAAAATGGCAAAACTCACTGCTTATGCCTAATACGATGCTGGTTAAACATTTGCTAACGGTCTAAGTCTATGATCCTACGCTTAGAACTGTCATAACTACACGGAAAAGTTACACAAACGAGGTCAAACTACTTCTATACAGCGGAAGGAGACCGTAACCAAGACAGAGGACACATCATGATCTCCATATCTATATTTTTTGACTCAAGTGTGTGGATGCTAGATAATTGAAGAGGCGCAGATCTTGCTCACAGCTCATGCTTTTGAAACATGCACAGAACTTGAATCATTTGTTTCGCAAAAATTTTATAGCTTCTCATTCTAACATGGAGCAAACTTATCAAATGACTATGAGTTCTTCATTTTAAAGTTTTATTTAGCTCCATTAGCCTCCTTGACGGGATATGCTCTAATTCAACTTGTTTGAAATAAAAAAAGTAATTGGGTTTAGATAAATCTCCCGAGATAATATTGTAGAGTAAACTTTCATTCCGTGTAAGCGCGTCTCACCGTGATACGACGGCTGATTATTCTTCTGCAATCTCTTGATCTAATACCGTCTGGGAAAAAGATTGAATTTCGCTTTTCCAGATTAAGTGAATCATTTTCTGGACGTACTTGTTAAATTAATTAGTTTATCATAGAGTTTAGAATATCAAGAATATTAACTGATTGGAGGTGTTTCCTCATTTTAACCAGGTAGTTACGTATATTTATATCATATTGGGAAAGTTAAGCTACCACTCCTTCATCACCCTATGCGACTCAGAACGAATATTTTTTATTTGAGTTATAATATTTGTTGCTATGGTTCCGAAAGCCTACAAATGTAGAGCATTGGTCGCTATTTCATTTACGTGACACTGATAATATAAGCGATTAATCAGGAACCCAACAGAGGGAATTATAAATAGGATGAAGGGTGCCCTGAAGGTGTGCGTAAGTGATAGGGAAATGGAGGAATGGAAAATGAATTCATTGCTCTAGACAGATGCTATGGCCCCAAAGTTAATGGCACTTCGAAGGAGTAAAACGAGGAAGTTTCTCTTAGATTAATTGTAATTTTTTTGTGCATACATTTCAAAAGGTGTTGAATGTAGGAAAAATATTTAGCCAAAAACATGAATTCATAAGTTAGTTGATCAGCAGAAATCTGAGCATCCAGATTATATATATATATATATATATTACTTCAATTTAATACTTTTTAACTTATCCTATGCATTTCAACGCTAACGATAATTTCTATAAATGTACCCAAGGACTTGCAAGTGATTCCTGCGCTGTGTATAAGAAACGCTTAGTGGAAGAGGTAGTAATAACCCCTAAATTAATAGTTAAATGCATAGATGATAGCATTGAAAGGTTAGTTAGCTTCCTAATCTCACCTAGCTTTTTGGTATGTTCTGATTTTTAAACAAAATAGAAAGTTAGGCAGGGATATATAAAGAAAAGTGACACGCTGGTTCTATTCTAGATTTTCTCCATAAAACTAATTATGGAGGTAAGATCAGAATTTTAAAGTCGTTTTTAGGAGTTTTGGGCTTGCTGATATAAATCATTTGACTGTAGGGTTAGATTAGCTTAAGCAATTGTTCCTTAAAAAATAATTAATACAAGTTTAAGAGTAATGCCTCTTAAATAAGGAGTAATTTTTCAGACGAAGTCTATCTGAATAGGAAGTTAGTCACCCTCGATCGCTTACGGCGATCTAACGGTGTCAACTTCCATTGGATTTTACCCTAGCCTTGACTTCCAAGAATGGCCTATCCAAGATGGACTGCAGTTTCGAGTTCGCCTAGGTCTCATCGGCAATCTCAATGGTAGTCGGGACTGTCGCGAGTGTCGTAGCGGGATCGTCGCCTACCATTGCAGTCCATGATGCCACTTAGTATTCAAGGGTTATTGAG